GTCCAACACCTGACTCAAATTTGCTGGCCTTGGGTTTGCCCTGCTGAGGTCCGAGGGGTCCTGAGTGGTCACTTCGCTGCCAGCGCCCCCCCCTCGCCCTTCCCTATTATCATGCTGGCTGCTAGGCATGCTTGTTGTGCACGCCATTGCAGCATTGCATTGGTTGGAAAATCGGTGCGGCTCAGTTCAGACCATGCATCTGCGTCAGTGCTTAGCCTGGCGGGAGAATGAACAGCTTTAGACTGCCTAGCACAAGGACTCTTATTTCCTACTACGCTATGGCTGCAGCTGGTAGTTGGCCTGCCAGCGTCCTCATGTGCCTGGTCCTGGTTGGGGCGTCGCCTGGGCACCTGCTGCGAGGTCGCTTGGGCCACATCTTCTCCTGGGACGCTAGCTTGCGGCACTTCATCACTGGAACGAGTTTGCCGACATACGTCCTGGCACGCTTGCTTTTGATCCCGTCTGGCACGGGCCCTGAGCGGAGTCACCTGAATTTGGACGGTGGGAGGCACATCGGGGTCATACGTTCTGACGGTTACTCCCCCCATCTGATATCCTTTTTCCCGTTAGATCCAGTCACGCTGTGACCAGCGCGCTGCCCATCTCGAAGCTGACGTTGATGAGGCACATCCTGTTGTTGACATGGTCCTTGAGCGGCATGCCTTGTTGCCTCATCTACCAACTCAATGCCATCCCTGGTATCATTGTGGTATTTGTAGTGACCATCTCCATAGATCCAATAGTCTGAAGATGTGACTTCATGGGCACGTTGGGGTGCTCCGTGGCCTAACCCCTCGCCACGCAGGGGCCTATTGCGGTCTAACCCCTCACCGCGCCGGGGCCCCATGTGGCCTAACCCCTCGCCACGCAGGGGCCTGCTGCGGTCTAACCCCTCATCACTATGGGGTCCGCCGTGGCCTAACCCCTCGCCACGCTGGGGATCGTTGCGGTCTAACCCCTCACCGCGCTGGGGTACTCCGTGGCCTAACCCCTCGCCACGCTGGGGCCTGCTGCGGTCTAACCCCTCACCGCGCGGGGGTAAGCCGAGTCTCGCACTGCCCCCGTCCTCGGTGCTGCTGCCCAATGGCACGGGCGAGGTCCCCCGACTATGCCACTCGCTGTGTTCGCGGTTCACGTGGTATCCGCGGGCCAAGCCCTCCCCCTCGCGTTCAGTCTGTCGGTTTCCCAGGGTATGGGTCCGCTCTGTTAGTTGCGAGGTCCTGTCTACCACACTGTTGGTCAAAAGTTCCGCGCCATGCTCACTGGGCTCGTCAGGGACCTCCGCCTCGAGCCTCTGCTTGCCTTTGGCACTGCGGTCTGCTCCCTCACCGCGCAGGGGATTTTCGTGGCCTAACCCCTCGCCGCGCAGGGGCCCCATGCGGTCTAACCCCTCACCGCGCTGGGGAAAGTTGCCGAAAAACTTCTTCAAGTCCCGACGCAGGTCTGTGTCGTCGTAACCTGCCGTCATCTCGGACTGTGCAGTCTCTGAGGGGCCACGAAAGGTAGCGAATCGCACCCGTGGCGAGACACCATTAGCCTCCCCTGTGGAATGCTTCGAGCGATGCGTCTCTTCCACCTTCCGCGTAGAAGAATCTATGTGCATCATGCTGGTGACGTCACTGATGTCGTCGTGTAGCTCTTCCTCTTCATCGTGCCCTTCCTGTTGTTGCTGTGGGGGTGGTATCCCCACTGCATTTCCATCGCCAGCTCGGTGAGCACGATGTGCTGCAAGCAGGTGCTGCCAGACCTGTGGAGGATCATGTACATCCCGTGCGAGGATTTGCCATGCCGTCCTGCCAGTTGGTTGGCCTGGCTGCATTCGATCAACTGCCTGACATTCCAAGTCATCTAGTACTTGCCGAAGTTGATCTCGCTCTAGATCCACGTGTTCTGGAACTTGTGCACGTAGTGCCAGCTGCGCTCGTGCTCTGCGCAGGCGAAGTAGTCCGTGCAGCGTCTGAGCTCGATACCTTCGTTCATCTACTTCCGCCTCACGCCGTAGTCGCTGCACAACTTCCTTTATATGTGGTTGCGCTGTATGCCATGCTTCATTGCATATCTGCTGAGCCATTTCAGCCAGATCCTCCTGATGGTTGCGGCTGTACTCTGGCCTTTGTAGTAGATCGCTTGTGACGGCAGGTATACACCAGTAGAGCCAGTCGTTGTATGCCACCTTCGAATCCCACATAGCTTGCTCAAAGCTCCATGCCCGTGCCGCGGTGGATAACTTATAGCGAAGTTCTGCTCGCTTGGCCTCGACTTGTTCGTGCCGTGGCTGTTCTGGCTCAGGTGCAAAAGGGGCTGTCCAGCTGACCTGGGCCTGGCACTCTTTCATTGTGTAGTACTGCTCCTCGTCGGCGTCCTTGAAGACACATTCATCGTAGTTCTGGGTGTTCTTCCCCTTGCCAACTTGCCCTTTTTCCAGCTTCTCTGCGCATGTCCATGGCCATTTTCCTCATGTCACCATGCGTACTGGCTATCTGGCTGTAAATAGGGAAGACGTACATGTCGGCCATGAGGTGTGGGACGCTCCACTTCATCCAATATTGCTGCAACTTGTCCGTGTTGATCCATGTTCTTACTTTGATGCGGAGGTACTTCGTTTAGCCTGTTGACGTAGTAGCTCGAGGCATACTGTATATGCTCGTTGCATATGTTTATGGTAGCCTCAGACTGCATGAGCACCACATTGTCATTGTCATCCGAGCTTCCGATGTCGCCGCCTTCGTCACTGACCTCTTCCCCAAATAGCGGTATCTCCACGTCAGGGTTTGCGCCAATTGCCGTTTTTTCTGGTAGTAGTGGATTGCCCACCTCGCTTTCGGGTGGATGGTCCATTTCCAGCATCGGCGTGGGCCTGTCTCCTATTTGAAGCAATGAGGTAGTGAATATTCTCCTATACGTAAGGACGTCAAGCCTGGTGGTGTAAGTATCAACGTTTTGGTCACTGCTGATCTGAATACTTTGCATCCCCGCTAGGCGCTGCCGTGCTTGTCGTAGCTCTTGTTGTCTCCGATGTACCATATGTAGCCATTGTATTCGATCGTTGTCGAAGAGCTGGCGATATTGCCGAAGAAACTCCTGCCTGGCTTGGTGCCCTGAGTACCAAACTCTATCGCAGATATCTTTGGTCATGGTACGTCTTTCATGATCTGTGGTCCATAGCCTTTGCAGGCTTGGATCTTGTCTCAACATCATATCGACCAGGGGTAAACACCACATGTTCCAGTCAGCCTGGGCCTCTGGCGGTGACCAAACTGCAGCTTCTGTCGCCCAATGGCCAATTTCATCCTCAAGCTGATTTGTAAGCATCCATCTGGCCATCATAGCCTGTGCTTCCTCCACTGTACCCCTGCATACTGCGTACCGTGCCTCAGCGTGCCCTTCACGTTGTTGAGGCTCTCGTTGCCGTTGCTGTGAGCTGAGGTACGCCATGATGCAGTAGTCACTGTTGTTAATGTAACGCGTGTCCTGCGGGTGGTATCCGTCTACGCCCTCGTAGACGTGGTGCTCTTTGTACATGAGCCTGACTTGCCCTGTTGAATCATCCTTTGCCTCGTACTCATCCTGAGCGAGCTGTTGCAAGTGAGCGCGCTTGAAGGGGCTCATGAAAGCCTTTTGCCATATGGTGACCGTCGTGCCCTGCCTGTATACCATGCCCTGATCCTTGAGCCCCTGATATAATTGAGCATCGAATTGATGTGGTAGTAAGTGCATCGGGGGGCTATCCAGATTGATGTGGTAGCAGCTGCGGAGATGACCTTGCCCTCCCGCAGATAGATCCAGTTGATGTCTCTGCCACCTGAGTGTACCGAAGCCCTGGAGGATGCACTGCTGCCATTGCTGCTGGTCGAGTTCTTTCATAGTTTTTAATGCTCGAACTTCAGCTGTCCTTCTGCTGTCGCTTGCATCCCAAGCTACATTGCAGATGGCCTTTGCCAACAGTAGTGTCCTGTGCGTGTCGACGTAGCCTTCGCCATCCAAGACCGAGTCCCTGAGCCCTGGTTGACTGATAATGGCGGTGTACACGTAAGGTGTGCCCCATAATAGCCAACCTGCCCTCGCAATATCATTGCTGCTCCAGGCCGCCTCCGCTGTCCATGAAATGGCACTTGCCCTGAGCTTCCCTGCCAACTGCTGGTAGGATGCGTTTTCAACTAAGCCTCTGAGGGTCGAGTTCACGCCTTCTGTGTCGGAGCAGTGACTGTTGGAGAGCACGCGTCCTCCATGGCAGCGGCCTGAGGTACTTCCACTGCCAGTGATTTGTGTGCAGCTGGATTTGGGTCGCCCTCTGCCAACCTCTTCTCTGCCGCTGCGGCTGTTGCCTCGCCCTTGCTTGCCCCCTTGGCTGAGAAAGCTGCCATTGTAGCTGCTCCGTGCCCTTGGAGGTGCGCTCCTGGTAGCAGGCTGATTGGAGGCCCTGTGCAAGGGCAAGCCTCATGCCCTGGGGAGCAAGGTTGGGTTGGCATCAGCGCTTGCGCCTGCTGGCTGCTGAGGACTGGCGTCTCTGGCATTGCCCACATCTGCGCGGGTGATGGGTACCCTTGAGAGAAAAGGGGCTCTCCCTCTGGCGGCGGCGGTGGCTGCTGGGTCTGTGATGACAGCAGCGTTGGTGCCTCTGCCGCTTCTCTCGCCACTAGCGCGGCTGCCGATGCTGCTGCCGCTGCCTCTGCCTCTGGTGTAATGAAAGGCGTCGCTCCTCTCATTGGCGCACTTGCTGAGGCTTGCACCAATATTGGGCTGGCTGGCTGTGGCTGAATCGGCGCTGCAGGCTGCACCGCTGAATGATGTCCCGCAGCGGGCTGTCCATCCGCCGCAAGATTCATGGCGGCTCTCAAATTGGCGGCGTAGTGCTCCCTTTGCATGCGCTGCTCGTGCTCGTAGGCCATCTGCCTCTGCATGATGAAAGCTTGCTGCGCCTGCTGCTGCACATTTGCCTGCTGCGGCATTGTCGCTGCCGCTGCCGCCGCTGCCTGCGCCAAGGCCGCTGCTCCCGTGACATCTGTGGGCCACGGGGTTGGGTGCGGTCCTGCTGCGCTGGGCTGAAATTGCTGCCCAAGCGAAATGCCGTTGGCCTGGATGACCCTCTGGAGCTGAAAGATGGTGTCCTGCATCTGCTGCTGCTGCACGTACATCTGCTGAACCTGGCCCGTGCTGTCGACTTGCATTGTAGCACCGTTGTCGCCCGTCTGCACTGCGGGCTGCAGGTCGATCATTTCTTGGTGGATGCGATCGTCGATCTCCGATAGGGCTTCTTTTAGCTCGTCCAGCTGCTCGATCTGCTCCATCTCCTGTGTCTCCAGGAGTGCCAGGCGATCCCTGGTGCCTTTGAGCGATATCTCCACGTTGTTGATGCGCTGGACTGCCTCGTTCCGCTGCTGGCTGAGCGGCTTGAGGAGGTTGGCGCAGTGCTTGAGGACCGCCATTTCTTCTTTTGTCTCCTGGTCGCTCTTGCCGGCTCCCTGCGTAGCCAAGCAGATACTGCCCAGCGCCTCGAGCTTTGTCCTCAGCTTGTCCTTGTAGGCCTTGATGCCCGTGTGGTCTGGTGGCGGCTGCCATTCCTGCCAGAGGGGATGCGCCACTGCTTGACTGTGCAATGCTGGCGGTATTCTGCCGATGAGCTGGTTGACTTGTCGCTCCTGGCCATATTGCTCTTTGACAGGCGGACGTGCCTTTGAGCGCGGCCTTGACTGCGGCCTGCCTTGCACTGTCCTGGGCTGTGATCTGCCACGCTTTCGCTGATCCCAGGATTCGCCGCATGCCGAGCATGACCAGGACCAGGGTGCACACTTTATGCCACACTTGCAAGTCCAGCCGCCTGCTTCCATCTGGGCGCTGCCTGAAGGGCGCCGTGATGAATGGTGTTCCTGCAGCAGCCTGGCTGCTGCTGCCACCCGTAGTAGTGATATGGCTTCTCCGCGCCGACGGCGCAGATGCCTGTGCCAGGCTGGCTCCCGCTCGCGGCTCCGCGAGCGGCTCGATCGAGCGCGGGCTCCAGCGGCAGCCGAGCGAGGCGTGGTCTCGCTATGGCGGCCGCGCGGCCACGCTGGGGTCCCTGGCCGATGGGCTGCCCTATGTCCCGCGGGCTGCCATGAAGCCAAGACGCCTCTCCTCCTTCTCCTCCTCCTCCTGCTCCTCTTCCTCCTCCTCCTCCTCCTCCTCTCCCTCTCCTCCAACTCCTCCTCTTCATCCTCCTCCACCTCTGTCTTACCCGCCGTTCCCTCCTCCTCCTCCTCCTCCTCCTCCTCCTCCTCCTCCTCCTCCTCCTCCTCCTCCCCTCCTGTCTCCGCATCCGCCCTCCTCAGCCTCCCCCTCCTCCTCTACCTCCCCCGTATCATCCTCAGCTCTCTTCCTCATCCACCTCCTCCTCCCCCTCCTCCTCTTCCCCCTCCTCCTCCTCCTCATGCTCCTCCTCCTCTTCCTCCTCAGCTGCCACCTTCTCCTCCTCCTCCCCTTCCTCCTCTTCCTTCTCCTCCCTCCTCCCCCCTCACCATCCCAAACACCGTGGGCAACATCAACATCCCCATCACGCATTGCCATCCTTATCCGCTTCCGCGTATTCCACCTCCTCCATCTCCTCCTCATCATCCTCCGCCTCCGCCTCCTCCTCATCCTCCGCCTGCCTATCCTCCTCCTCCTCCTCCTCCTCCTCCTCCGCTTCCTCGTCTCCTCCGCCTCTTCCTCCTTTTCCTCCTCCCCTCTCCTCTCCTCCTCCTCCTCCTCCTCCTCCTCCTCCGCCTCCCCTCCTCCTCCTCTTCGTCTATCCTCTCCTCATCATCCTCCTTCCCCTTATCATGCGTTCATCCGCTTACTCCTCATCCTGCCGCTCCTCCTCGTGCGCACGCTCCCCCCCCCCCGTTTCCGTCTCATCCTCCTCCTTCCCTCCTCCTCCTCCTCCTCTCCTCCATCCCGTCCGCTCTCCTCCAACTCCTCCTCATCCTCCTCCTCCTCCTCCAACTCCTCCTCCTCTTCCTCCTCCGCCTCCTCCTCCTCCTCCTCCTCCTCTCCTCCTTCCTCCGCCTCCTCCTCCCTCCTCCTCCTCCTCCTCCTCCGACTCGGTCTCATTATCCTCCTCCTCCTTCTCGCCTCATCATCCGTCCTTCTCCCCCTCTGTTATCCTCCTCCATCTCCGCCTATCCTCCTCCTCCTCCTCCTCCTCCTCCTCTCCTCTTCCTCCTCCTCCTTGCCGCCTCCTCCTCCTCCTTCCTTCTCATCGTCCTCCCCTTCCTGCGCCTCAATCTCTTCATCATCCGCCGCCTCCGTCTCCTCCCCCCCCCGTCTCATTCTCCTCCTTCTCCCCCCCCACTCCTCGTCCTCTTTCTCCTCCTCCTCCGCCTCCTCCTCCTCCTCATATTCCTCCCCTTCGTCGATTGCCTCCCCCCCCCGCCTCCTCCTCCCCCCCCTCCTCCTCCTCCCTCCTGCCCTCCTCCTCCTCCTCCTCCTCCTCCCTCCCATAATCATTGTCCTCCCCTTACCCGCCTCATCCTCATCCCCGTATCCCCCTCCTCCTCGTCGTTTCTCCCCTCCTTTCCCCCCCTCCTGCCCTCTGCTCCTCCTCCACCTCCTCCTCCCTCCTCCTCCTTCCCCTCCTTCTCTACCTCCCCCTTTATCAGCCTCAGCTCTCTTACCCCTCATTCTCCTCGGCCCCATCAGCATCATCATCAGCATCATCATCATCATCATCATCAGCATCATCATCATCATCATCGTAATCATCATCATCATCATCATCATCATCATCATCATCATCATCATCATCATCATCATAATCAGCATCATCATCATCATCATCATCAGCAGCAGCATCATCATCATCCTCCTCCTCCTCTTCCTCCTCCTCCTCCTCCTCCTCCTCATCATCATCATCATGAGCATCATCACCAGCATCGCCATCATCATCATCACCATCATCACCACCAACAGCATCATCATCAGCAGCAGCAGGTTATCATCATCATCATCATCATCAACAGCAGCAGCATCATCAACAGCATCATCATCATCATCAGCAGCATCATCCGACTCGTCGTAACCCCACTTACCCCCTGCTGCTCCTCCTCACCCACACCCTTCTTCGCCCTGTTGATGATATTCCTCGTCCTAGTCCTCCTCCTCCTCCTCCTCTTCCACCTCCTCCTGCCTCAGTTGAGAGGCCACGTCGCACCAATTTCAATAACATTATTCAGGGGCGCCACCCCAGGAAGACTCTGGGAGTAGGCAGGACGGAGGAGCTGCCCGCCGATGTCGTTCCCCCCTCCTCTTTCGAGCCTCCCCCTCTCGACGATGATGTGGACGACTTTGTGCCCAGGTCTCTCCGACAGGTGGCTACAGGACCTCGCCGAGAGAGCTCCGCCACGGGAGCTCATTGCATTGCGCCTGGATCTGGTCCACACGCGGGGCGACGATCTGGCGAGCCTGATGTTAGCGTTGCTATGTCCGATTTAGGTTCGGACTACCTTGTTTGGTCTTTCAGTCTCGGCCTCACCCTCTAGGGAGCCAGGGAGGCACAGCCTCGATTGTGGCTCGCCTGGAAGAGGCGGGCAATTTTTTCGAGTGATCGTCCCAGCTACCTCAGCGTCTGTTCAGCCTGCTGTGGTTGCGGGGAGGTCCTGGACTCAGCCTAGTGGAGTTCGAAGCCGAGTGGAGCGATTGGGACGGTTTCCCTTGCTCGTCCCCCGTTTTTGTTCTCTGCACTCGGCTGCTCGCCCGTCCTGCACTCAAGTAGCACCTGTTCGGTGCTCGACGCCGAGCTTGCGGCTTGGAGGCCTTTCGCCTCTCGCTGGACCAGCTTGTACAGTAGCTGATGCCAGGCCACCACCCTCAAGGAGGTCTCGCCAGCCCCTTGTTGTATCGTCGGGCAGCATTTTCGTCGATGTTAAAAAACCTCCTCCTGCCTCCCCCCCCCTCCTCCTTCTCCTCCTCCTTCTCCTCCTCCTCCACCTCCTCCGCCTCCTCTTCCTCCACCTCCTCCTCCTCCTCCTCCTCATACGCCTCCTCCTCCTCCCTCACTTCCTCCCTCACCTCCTCCTCCTCCTCCACCAACTTCTCGAACTCCTCCAACTGCTCCTCTTCCTCCTCCTCCTCCAACTCCTCCACCTCATCCTCCTCATCTTCCTCTTCCCCCCCGCCACATGCTCCTAAACATAAGCATCAGTATCATCAGCAGCATCCTTTGTGGGCCCCGGGAACGGCAGGGCCTTTTTTTTCACCGTTTTCACAAAAATGCCCATTGAAAATGGAAACGGCAAAAAAACGGTGACCGGAAACGGCACATAAACGGCTCCAAGATTGGAACAGGAGCCGGAACCACGGCGACGGAACCGGTAAAAAAACGGCGTTGGAACCGTCAACAAAAATAGCAAAACGGAACCGGTAACAAAAACGGCCCTGTCGTTTCCAGGGCCCACTAAGGCAGCATCAGCATCGTCATCATCAGCATCAGCATCCTCAGCATCCTCCTCCTCCTCCTCCTCCTCATCATCATCATCATTGTCAGCAACATCATCGTCATCATCATCATCATCATCATCATCATCCTCATCCTCATCATCAGCATCAGCATCAGTATCAGCATCATAATGATCTTCATCACCATCATCATCGGCATCATCATCAGCATCATCAGCAGCAACATCATCATCGTCATCATCATCATCAGCATCATCATCGTCATCATCATGATCATCAGTAGTGACATCGTCATCAACAGCATCAGGTCATCATCACCAACAGCATCAACATCAGCAGCATCGTCGTCATCGCCATCATCAGCATCAGCATCATCACCATCGCCATCATCATCATTATCGTCGTCATAAGCAGCATCATTATCAGCAGTAGCATCATCACCAGCAGCAACAGCATCACCATCAACATCCGCATCATCATCATCATCATCATCATCATCATCAGCAGCAGCAGCAGCAGCAGCATCATCGTCACCATCACCATCACCATCACCATCATCATCACAAGGGCCAGCATCATCGGCATCAGCCTCAACATCGTTAGCATCATCATCATCAGCATCATCGTCATCATCAGCATCATCGTCATCATCAGCAATATCGTCACCACAACCATCAGCATCATGAGCATCACCTCAACATCATCACCACCACCATCAAAAACGCCACCATAATCATGATCATCATCAGCATAAACGTTGCACTCACCATCATCATCACCACCACAAGCATCATCATCATCAGCATCATCATCATCATCATCATCATCATCAGCATCATCGTCATCAGCGTCATCACCATCGTCCTCATCATCCGCATCATCACCATCATCATCAGCATCATCATGACCACCAACCTCACCATCATCATCCTCTTCCTCACCATCATCACCACCATCATCATCATCAGCACCATCATCAGCATCACCATCACCATCACCATCATTAGCAACAGCATCATCATCACCATCATCCGCCGCCTGACCCTCATCCTCATCCTCATCCTCATCGTCCTCCTCCGCCTCCGCATCATAATCCTCCTCGTCCTCCTTCTCCCGTTCCTCCTTCTCCTCCTCCTCCTCCATCCTTCTCCGTCTCCTCCTCGTCCTCCTCCGCCTCATTCTTCTTCCCCATCCATCTCCCTTCTTCTTCTCCTCCTCCTCCTCCTCATCCTCCACTCCCTCCTTCTCCTCCTCCTCCTCCTCATCCTTTCTCTCCCTCGTCTTTCTCCTCCACTCCACCTCCACTCCTCCTCCTCCTCCTCCTCCTCCGTCTCCTCCTCCTCTTCCGCATCCACCTCCTC